AGATTTGAAGTCTTTTATAGCCGGTTGTCATTCTCTATTGCTGTATAATCATTGATTATACAACAATGGAGAATGGCAACTGGCTGTAGAGGACTACAGATCACATTAGTCTGATTTATACTGGGGTGCAATCTCCCCAGGGCTGCGTGTAGATTTCACCAGGGATGTGTTTGGGTCTCGCCAGGGATACATGGGCTCTGTGCAGGTGCCGGGTTCTCCGGGGCTCTGCATGCGGCTGCTGGGCTCTCTAGGGATAAACGGGTGGGATCTGGACTTGTGCCCGGCTCCAGGACAGTGCTGGTGGGTGTGGGGCTGTCCTGTGCTATGCCGGGAAGGAGGAGAAGGCAATGTGCAGCTGGATAGGCACTATCAAAGACTAGGATCCCAGCACACTCAGGACCTCAGGCAGCAGATCTTCCTGAAAAATTTAAAGTGACAATATTATCAGCCTTTAGTATGCCCTTTATCGGCACCGATACTAGTATCAGTATTGGGACATCCCTAGTTTAAAATGTTGTGTTTGGAGAGAATCTGCGTACAATGAAGTATAATTCATGTCTGTGGTGATAAGTGGATGAGATGCAAGTAAAGCTGCTATACATGGCCCCACAATAAATACAAAAACTGTGGTGAGCTCAGTAACAAAGTGCTCGGTTTAGAAAACTTAGATGCAATCAAGCATTAGTTAGGTTTGGGTTCTCCTTTTGGGTCCCAATACAGTGTTTTGAAACAGTTTTTAGCTACAGGCCACCACCCAACATCTTAGTATTAAGGTGAGACTGAATCGTTTGATCTATATTAGTAGTTTCCCTCTGATGTTTTAATCTTTTCAGTCTCGGGGTATGCATATTGTGGGATAACCATACAATCTCCTGTTAACCCCTTCACAGCCTATGACGGGATAATCCCGTCATGAAGTCTGAAGAGGTTACAGAGACTCCCGGCGGCTTTTAGCCAACGTGAGTCTCCTCCGTTTTGTAGAGCCGGCGACCGGCTTTACAGTAGAAGCGATTTTAAGTGCGATCTGCGCTTCAATAACTTATTTCATGTGTAAAGGTTGACACTGGGGGTCTTTTGGACCCCCAGCATCACCTTAAAGAGTACCTGTCACTGCAATTATGCTATCACATGGGGGGAGGGGGGGCGTGTAAAAAAAAAAGTTTTTTAAAAATATTAAATAAAATGTAAAAAAAAAGTAATTTTTTAAAGCCCCCAGCCCCTGTGAGCAGGTGCGTTGTCACGAAAACACGCGTCGGGTGTGCCTACGTACAAAAACGACGATTGCGCTACACATGTTGGGTATCACCGTGCACACCGGAGTGAGAGCAATCATTCTAGGGCCAATATTTACAGGTATCTCTAAACTGATGACCTTTGAGGGCTTTTAAAGTGTTGTGTATGGAATTTTTGGGGTACTGAATACTGTCGCAGTTTCATAGACGTATACAATTTTTAACCTGGGCATATTGGGTATCTATTTACTCATTGTAACCTCATCTATATTTGACAAAAAATTATGGTTTTATATTGTGTTTTGGGGCACTAAATTTAACTTTAAGTGCATTTTTCACAAAATGTTGGGGTTTGATAATAAGTTGCGCTAATGTCGTGCAACGTCGAAATTTGCAACTGCCACCGTTTTATTCTATAGGGTCTTGGCTTTAAAAATATATGATTTTTGGGGGGTTTAAGTAATTTTCAGGCCTAAAATGTGGATTATAACATGGGTGCTAAAAATGAAAAAAAGGCCTTGGTCCTTAAGGGGTTCAATTACCAATTTGCCCAGACTCTTATCAGCCAATGTCCAATGGACAGAGCAGACTCTGCAGAGAATTTCAGTTGGATCCTTCAATTTCCACAAGTCCTCTCTGGACATGACCCATTGTTTGGAGTACCTTGTCCTGCTATTTGATATGTCCTTGTCAAGGATCCTCCTTTCTGGGGACAAACTCGTGTCTGTCTGCTCACATGCTTGAACCCTTCTCTTCAAAAGCCATGTATGATTTAATTTTTGTATGAGGGTTCTGGGTCTGACGGGGCCTCATTCAAGGCAGTACCATATGCCCAGTTTCACTCCAGACCATTACAGCTCAACATTCTATCCACTGTCCTCATTCCTCAGTCATCAGAATCTGGATCCAGGGAGTGATTTCTCCACCCAGAGGTGTTGCAAACCCTTTGCCACAAGTGGGGCATGCCAGACATAGTTCTCTGGCATCCATGTTTAACAAAAATCTGGACAGATTTTCACCAGGTTCAGGGACCCTCAGCTTTCGCAGTGGATGATCTGGTGACTTCATGGGATCAGTTCAGCCCCACTTACGCCTTTCCTTCTTTAGAGTTCCTCCCTCATTTGCTCCACAGGGCCGAGATGGAGGGCTTACTGGTGAACCTTTTTTTTTTTACCTAACCTAAGCTAATTCAAATGTGATTAAATTACTTGCAATGAATGCTGCTTCTTGATGTTTTAAACACTTTTTTGTTTGTTTGTTTCTGGCAGAATCAGCTGGTCCCCTGAGCACTGGTCCTGATATCCTGTTTTAGGATGGCTACATTCCCTTGCAGGGTCCTATGGAGCTATCCTTGTGTGTGCTAGTAAGCTGTGTGTAATTCCACAAACAGGCACAACAGGGCAAGCCAGTCCTTTCCTTCATTTTCCTCCTTCCTCCTTCATCCTCTCTCCTCCCTAGTAAATGGATGGTTACTGGTGTCTACACTGTCCCTTGTGATCTTGTACTGGACAGGAAGTTCAAGGAAGCCAAGCTGAGAGAGTTGGAGATAGCTATTCAGAAACATGATCACTGAAAGTGCTTGGGCAGAAATTTAAGAAATGCTTTGCTGGGCAATGTCAATTTGTGTTACTCCCCCTGCCGCGCCAAGGCCAGGTTCCACACAGGAGATAACAAGCCCCTGTGTGATAGCAAGGTAGACGGCTACTTCCTCCGGCGTCAATCCACATTAACAGGACGCCGGAGGAAGTATCTGACAGCTGGGGGGAGGAGTTGCGAAAGTTAGTTCTTTCAACTTTGGGACATTCAATGATCGTCTACAGATCCTAGATCCTGTACAGTACAAGTAAGAACATAGGATTTTGGAATTGCCTAGGAAATCCCTTTCTTTGGAGTAAGGTACAGGATACAAATCCCTCACCTCCCTGTTTTGTTTTTTTTTAAATGATATCTACATTGCTTGCTACCAAACTGACCGTTTCTGGTAATGGGAGGAGTTATCAAGGGGATGTCCCTGCAGCTTCTTTTTTTTTTGCCTGTGTCCAATAGCGTGAAAGTAACTGCATATAACCCATGGTTAAGACTACAACAATCCTATTTTACAATGTCTCCTTTTACTTTCTTTTTAAAACAGCAGGGTACTTAAATGATCATTTACAATTCTACACCTAAACTTTTAAAAAGTGGTTGAAATATGGACGGGTTATGTGATACATGGCCCAGATACAAATGGGCACTGCTGAAATTATTGATCGTAAAACTCTATGGTTTAACTTCTGTCTGAAGATGTATTTATAATATATCTCTGGGTGTTTTTGTGCCATTGTGAAAGCGATATGTCTTTTTTAAATTGTTTTGTAATACTATTCTGTTTTTGAAAATAAAAATCATTGAAAGTTGAAGTTGGTTTAAATAGAGTCAAATCGTATGAATAACATCATGGTCTTCTTCTTCCCCGAAAAAAACAAACAATTCAGTCTACAAAAAACAGTCTAATGTTGTTAGTCCAAGTAAACTGTATTTCAGTTTTCTGCATTTATACATGAGAAGCAAATGCATTAATTTAGCTGCTTCTGCCTGAGCAGCCAGGCAATACCTATAACAGTCTTGTTAGTCACAGCATTAGGAAGCCATGGGGAATCAGGGCACATACCGTGTTTCCCCGAAAATAAGACACTGTCTTATATTTTTTTTGGCTCAAAAAAACACATTAGGTCTTATTTCCGGGGTAGCTCTTATTTTTTTTTTTTTTTATTTGCAACAATCCACACTTATTCATGTAGAAAAGTCTACATGTATTCATGTACAAAAATATGGTAATCAGGGCTGCTGTACCTTTCTAAGAACAATTTGCTAACCAATCGCTGGCCAGAATGAGCGAAGCGCGCTTTCACTATCGATTCCTAACAGGCAGAGTGCATTTGGTATCACTCTGCCTGTGACAGGAGCCGGCGATATAGAGGCATCGGCTTATGCGGCTCTGCTCCCTCCGCTGCCATCTTGTTTCCTCTAGCTCTGGGTTCATTGGCACCGCTGATTCTCTCCTGCCTCTCCCGCGGCTCTTCAAGTTCCGCCCTATGCCACCACCACGGGCCCTGGGAATGGTCACAACTAGGTCTTATTTTCAGGGTAGGTCTTATATTTTAGCAATTCCCAAAAATAGTACTAGGTCTTATTTTCGGGATAGGTCTTATTTTCGGGGTAACAGGGTATCAGACTTTCTTAGCTTTGAGGCATGCAGACCACGTGGGGGGCTGTTAGGTGTAAAGTCAGTTTATGGCTTCTGGTCTGCTTTTATGTACTGGGTGCCAATCTACCACCTATGCGATGTGCTTTTTAGCACTCCGTTAATGTGGAAGAACTAAACTGCTTGGAGTTATCGCATAATTAATAGCAGTGTGAAATGTCACAGCATTTTATCTTTTGTGTTTTATTTTTCTTGCTCAAAAGCTGCTTTCATAGGTATACTGCAGGGTATATAACTTATTTTTTTTAAAGACTTAGCTGTGATTTTATGTAACCGAAGAGCAAGCACTTCATGGCAGTGTGATTTACCTGGACTGCTTTAATTTCATTGTAGTTTTTTGGCCTTTCCGGTTTTACATACATTTTATGAAGCCATTGGTGCTGTTTTGAAGTAGAATATGGTTATTGTTATTATTTTGGAGTGCTTAGCTAAAAGTTATGTTGTCCAGTAAAATATTCAAGTACGTGTCCCATGTTATTTACTACAAGGTAACTTTTTTTTTTGGCATAAATTCACCTCTTTAGGAAGAAATGGATAGCAATCCAATGGTGTCTTCCTTACTGAACAAGCTTGCAAATTACACAAACTTACCACAGGGCGTCAAAGAACATGAAGAGTATGAAGATCGTAAAAGAAAGGAAACCAAGGTAATGTATTCAGATTGTCTTTAAAGTTATGTGTGTTGATATTTGTAGTTTTGCATTTATATTTATGGTGATTAGCATCCTTGCCAAAAGACCACTTTTTGTAAATTTTTTTATATTTTGTAGGAATCGATTAAAAACAACCAGCCAACCTCATATGTTGTAAATAATATGTATGCAGCGTGGGCTGACGGCCACTTATAACTCTGCAGAAAAGATTTGATATATCATGGCTTGAATTTCCCATTATACTTAGAGGCGTATGTTAATAAAGCATGCTCATTTACCAGGGGACAGGTGAATGGGGCATAGTAACCGATTGAAACAGGGCTTGTACATCAAGTCATGAAGTCCCAGATCTAAATAGCAAAGTGAAAATTAGTAAGTGTCAAGGATACTGGCACAGGTGACCCCACACCTGCGCAGGTAATCACACAGGCAGACCAAACACGTGTGACCACACGAACCAGGCAAGTATGTTACACGGACCAGGCAAGTATGTTATATATGTATAGATTGTTTAATATACACAGCTGACTAACAGCAACAACCAACAACAGGGCTCAGGACAGCAAACAGACACAGGAAACAGGACTTCAAACAGGGTTCAAGGTTCAGGATTGGTAACAGGACTCACAGGAAACGAGATTCAAACAGGGTTCAGGACTCGCAGATAATAAGATTCAAACAGGGTTCAGGACTTACAGGTAACAAGGTACAATACTGAGCCATCGTCCTGACTGCAGGGAGGGTTTAAATACCCTCCCAGGAAGCAACAGGTGATGGCTAAGTGCTGGGAGACACCCGCAGGTGAGCACTGGAGCTGCAGGACCCAGCACCACCCAGTGGTCTGGTACCTAGCAGTTCCTGGATGGCTGGAGAATCCTGCAGGTGAGCCCAGGAACTGCAGGGCTTACCTCCAGCGCCACCTGGAGGCGCTCTGGATCCTAATAGTAAGTCATTGTGGGTGGGGCACAGTAGTAGTTTTGCTGCATGAGAGGTTATAGGAGGTATGTCATGCTTGCAGCAAGAAATCTGTATAACATGACTCAGTAGTTTATATTGTGCTCACTAAATTATTTGTTGGTAGCAAATATACAGAATAACGGGAGTGGTAACATGTCTTTGACAGGTTGTTACAGTTTATTTTAGTTGTAGGCTGTGAAGTTTTTGTCAACGTAAATTATGACAAGTCTCTAAAATGTTGGTTAAATAAATAATTTTGTTCCTGTGATCTTACTCTGTATCTCGTCAAATATGTAATGGTACGCTCACATCTATGTGTTTGAGTATGTGTGTTCAGGGCCACCGATAGGGCGGTACAGCCTGCCTTCCCGTACCCTGCCCGTACCTGGCCCAGACCCTATCAGGTCAGCAGGAAGGCCTGGTAGAGACTCATGGTGGGTGGCCCACACAGCTTCCTCCCACCAGAACTCCCTGCATTAACTGCTGCGTTGAGGAAGATTTTTTCCCCCCCTCTATGCCACCATCCCACCCTCTCAGCCAGCAGTACGACCCCACTGTGCCACCAGTTCCTGCCCTCCCCTGCCACCTCTCCGATCAGAACAGCATTTATCACTATGGCTGGACCCTGGGAACAAGAGAGCTGGTGGTAGTCATCAAGCTGTGTGAGCAAGGCCCCTCCCAGCCAGTGCTGTCAAACCATGGGGTGCGTCTGTGTTGAAGCGGCAACCAGGGGATCTGGTGGGCCTGAGAGGACACATGCTGCAAAGCAGAACCCTGAAAAGGCAGCACAGGAAAGAAGTCTTGGCCAGGGGGTGAGGGAAGGGAACCAAGCTGTTAAAGGGTGATGGCTAGAATGACAGGTCCTCAGTGCTAGGCTAGCAGTATTAGGAAGGCGTTGACTGTTTTCTGATGCCTACAATGCCAGATGCGTGTGTGTGTGTGTACTTCTGACCTCTAAACTCTACCTCACTATGGCCAACGGATGGTACTGTAAGACTTAAGGGGATAATGAAGTCACTAAGGTCCACTTCATCAATCAGTCTTTTATTGACATTTAGATAAACATGGTGTCACAAGCAAATGCAACGTTTCGGAACCACATTCAGTGGTTTGCCTTCATCAGGCGAAACATTGTGACAATCTGTTCAACAAATGTGGATATATACATCAGTGAATTAACCAGAACCCAATTAGTGATTGCAGCCACACCCCTTCTGATATCACTATGATGTAATTTTTCCGCCAAAAAAAGCACTGTGAACATTGTTGTTTCTATGCAAAATGAATGTATGTAGCACTCGGCATAAATCTAAGATTGTAAAGAGTTGATTCGATAGTGAAACATTACACAATTATGGGCACAAGCAGAGATTGCAGTGAGAGATCAAAATGAGCAGATGAGAGCTGTACCCGTCCTAAGGTCAGTTGGCCAGTCTCCATCCTTTTGTGAATACACCACTGCCCATGAGTGTATAGTGCTAAGGTGCTCAGCGGTGATGGCGTTCCCATAAAGGGCCCCACCAACTATTTCATTGTGCTTTACTTTTGCTACTATTGGCAACATATCCGACACAAAAAAGAGGACCACTTGTCATGTAGTTGCTGGCAACTCCCCAGTTTAGATCTTGTCATCTGCTTGTGATATCTGTGGCCTTCTGTTCGCTGTTTACATCTGTGATGCTTGCAAGTCCACTTCTGAGCTACCCGCTGTGGTGACCACATCTGAGCTTTCTTTGTTTTTTTTTTTGAGGTGTGCCTAGCTACCTCACCATTGAGTTGGAAGCCTCCCACAATTGGTCATTTCCACCATACATTGGGCCCATCAGTCAACATCTTGCAAGTTTTTTACCACTGCAACTGAAAGGTTTATTTTGAATGATGCACATCATTGGGTTTTAATTCTTGTTCATTTTTTCTGTCAGTAGGGTCCTTTTCCTTTCTCCAGCTGGGAGGGGGATCAGCATTCAGCTGTGTACCATAAAAGGACAGGTTTTGGCCTTGCCTATTCCATTCCAGAGACCTCCGACTGACCATTCTCTGCTTTGCACCTTTGTTCAGGAAGTAACTTGTGGTGTTTTTCTCCATGGGTCCTCACCTTTTTAGCTGTGGGATATGTACTTTGCTCTTTTGGTTCAAAAGCCTCCATCTGAATCCCTCTGGTACATAATTTTTACCTTGTCTCAGAAGGTGGCTTTTCTTATGGCTATCACCTTGGCTAGGACAGATTGAAAGCTAGTCCGCAAGGCTCATTTAATAGTTTTTCACAAAGGCTGGGCACACACCTTACAACCATCGCAAGACTTTTGTCTTGCGATGGTTGTAAGGTATTTTAAAAAACGTACGATCTGCCTATCTTGCATAGACAGATCGTACTTGCGATGATCGCAAGCCACGCCCCCTGCGGGCTTCCGATGACCGCAATGCCGAAAGGGCAATGTGCGCTTGCGCACACCGGCCCGTACGGCTGTTATCGTACGGACATGCCACAAACCCGCCGAACATCGTATGATGCTCGGCGGGTTTTCGAACATGTCCGTAAGTTTAAAGTCGTGCGACCTTACAGTAGTAGAGGTCGCACGACTTCCACACACCTTACGATAATCGTACGATCGCGGGATTTCCCGCGATGATCGTACAATTATTGTAAGGTGTGTGGGCACCCAAAGACGTACCATAAAACATTGGGAACCTCCCTCTCTTAATCTTACATTATGGGACACAGCTGTGTAATTCAGGAACCTTTGATTATGCTGCTGCCTTCAGGAGACTGGACACTGGCAAGCAAGAGTTGTAAGGACCACTCACTATAACCCTCCCAAGCCCAGAATGCCTCAGGTTTTGGTAGTGTCCTTTGGAGAATGGATGTCTTCTTTCTAGTCTGAGAGAAGAAAAAACTTATTTTTTTTTAATTTATACTTTTTGGTTTAATTAAGCTACTTTTTCTTGTAGAAAGATTTTTTTCAGTTGCTGCAGAGCCGATGGAACTTATTTTGCAGCTTCCAGATTGGCTGAACCCCACTGTGAAGAAGTGGGGCTGGCGTGTAAAGTGTTCTTGTACACTGGGCTCTGCAAAAGTCACTCTCCGAGACACCTTCACTTAGCCACAGGGTGCTGTTAAGTGCTGTGCTGCACTCACTGGTGGAAGCCTATCCCTGAAGACTCCCTAGGAATCAGGAATGAGACTTGTGCCATTAGCCCTGCCTATATAATTTAACCTGCTGTGGGGGACTGCTGGGTGCCCTTAGACCACTGGTGTGTTAAGTGCTTTTGCCCTTTTATTGAGGGCCTAAAGTTTGCTTTTGATGGAGCTTTTACAGGTGACTGTGAGTAGCCTTTGGGGAATCCCACACTTACATACAGCAGTATGGCGGATCATAAGTGCAGAAGAACTGGTCCTGTGAACCTTGCAGACTTGAAATCTTAGTCCTGGAGCAGCTTGCAGCATGTTTTCCAAAGACCCAGCACATAGTCTTGGCACTCTTTAAAGTTATCCTTAACCCCTTCTGAGGTTACTCCCTCCTCTGTATTAGCAAGGCAGGATTTCCCCACCACAATGTCTGTCTGAATTTAGAGGGAAAATTTCAGCTGAGAATGAGGGCAGAGTACCTGGCCTGTGTTTGTTTTTTTCCCCCAAAGTTTTTAATAAGTTTTAACATATACAATAGAACATGTGAATAACACAGAATTTGAAGAGAAGTAAAAAGGGTTGAAGAGTAAAGTAGAGGGTGAAAGCTAGAGTCTGGTAGCGGTAGGACCCCCCTTGGGTAGGGCAGAGCAATTAAATGGCTGTTATGCTATCAGAATGAATATCTGGGTGAGCATATGTTATCTAAGGGCCCCAAACCTTTGTAAATTCCTTCTGGGTGTCCAAAAGACACATTTTTTATTGATGAAAAATTAGCAATTCTGCATCTAACCCCCGTGAAGGGGGGCGATTTGCTTCTTCCATGCTTGTGCTATGGTTTGTTTAGGGGCCAGAAGAACAAAAACTGCCAGTTTGTGTTGAGTCTTCGTAAGATTCGGGAGTTAAGGTGTAAAAGTGCAAACCACGGGTCCCTGACTACATTGGTGTGGAAAAGAAATTGCAACAAGCGGAATGTTTGAGCCCATAGCCTGTTCACCATTGGGCACGTCCACCAAATATGTAGCGCATCACCTTTCCCAGCACAACCCCTAAAGTAGAATGCTGACTGTTGAGAATGAGAATGTGCTACTCTGGCAGGGACCATGGTCCACCGCATCATTGATTTGTAGGCTGTTTCCAGGGAAGTGATGTTGATGGTACATGATACCGCCGGGGTCCAAATCTGCTGCCACTCCGTGTCAGGCATAGACTTTCGCAAGTCTCTTTTCCCAGGCCAGCACGTAAGCATGATTTAGTTTGTTGGTGAGGGCATTGAGCAGAGAGTACAGTATAGATACCAGGTTAGGTTGTGAGGGCGTGTGATAACAAATATACTCCAATAGTGATAATTGGGTAGAGGGCACTCTGCCAGATAAGAGGGACAAGGTCCAATGTCTGAGATGCAGATAACGAAAATACTCCGATGGAGGTGCGTGCAAATTATTCATGATGGATTCCTGGCTACGTATCTGGCCCCCAATTAATAGATTATGTAGGTATAAAATATTGTGTGACTTCCACCAAGTGAACGCCCCAGAAGACTCAACAATGGTGGGAACAGCGGATTGCCCGAGATAGGTAAGTGGGGAGAGATAAGTTTGCCAAAATATTTAGTGCTATCCCATACTGAGAGGGAATGTCTCATCACAGGGCAAGGAGTCCTGGGGCGTGTGCCCAGCAGAAGCCATGGGAGCACTGTAGTCGGGATCGGAGCACAGAATGTATTCTCCAGCTCCACCCACAACAGCGCCTGTGTAGATAAGTAAAGATTTGGCAAGGGAGCTATCTGAGCAGCTTGAAAATATATTTGAAAATTAGGAAGACCCAGTCCACCCCGTTTCCTATGGGCATATATAGATTGTTTGGAGATTCTCGGTCTGGTGTTTCCTCGGGTGAAGGCCATTACCCGATTTTGGAAGGAACGGAGTGCAAATCCTGTAATCGCGAACGGAAGAGTCCTGAAAAGATAAAGTAGTTTTGGGAGTATTGTCATCTTGACGGCGTTAATCTTCCCTTTCCAGGATGAATTATGATGGGACCAAGAAGACATTAATTCCCTTAGAGTTTTTAACATTGGGATATAGCTAGTCTTATAAAGCTAAGTCTTTGGTTAAGGAGATTCCAAGGTATTCTAGGTTACAGATGCGCCAGGCAAATGTGAAGTTTCGTCGTAGGGAATCTCCTGTGGAAGTGCCTAAAATGTGGAATATAACATGGGTGCAAAAATTGAAAAAAGGGCCTCAGTCATGAAGGGGTTAAGGGCCAAAGATTTCTCCTCATTAAGGGTGAGACTCAAGACTTGTGCAAAGGATTTCAAGACCGAGAGCAAGTTAGGCAATGTAATCTGGGGTTTGGTAACTGTGAGAAATAGGTCGTCCACAAACATATTAGGTTTATCGTCCGTGTTTCCCAACAGTACCCCATGAATGTTAGTGTTTTGTTGTATAAGATGAGCCAAAGGCTCTATCGCAAGGATAAATCGGACCGGAAGAGGGGGCAACCCGGTCTTGTCCCCCTATTAATATTGAACTGCCAAGAGGAATAGTGGAGATAACGGGCACTGTATGAAACTCGGAGCCACTGTAGAAAGGTCGGAGGGAATCCCATTTTCCAAAATTATAGTATTAATAATCCCAGGAAACATTATCAAAGGCCTTTTGGGTATCCAGATATAAAAAATCCTTTAATTGAAATAAAAACCGAAAGCCACAAAAATGGATCCACTGCTGTAATCAAAGGGTCAATCACGACATCCAGCGTTATCCACCGCGACTTGTCGAAAATTTTAAAAAAGCCAGACGAACTCCTGCTGCAAAATTACATTCTGACAGATGCCAGGAAAATGTAAGCAATTGGGGCGGAGCTAGAGGTGACATCACCCAACTGTTTCCATTTGTCCAGCACCTGTCACACTACCTGCAAGTCCCGGCCAAATAAAAATAAATGGTCGAAGTTGGCCGCTCCGCCTATTTGTTGTCATTCAATGATGGGCCACTGTCCTCGGGTCATGATGTCACTGCTAGCGCTGCCCAAATTGCTTATATTTGCCGACATCTGTCAGAATGTAATTTTGTGGCAGGAGTTCGTCACGGTGGGCGTCGGGTTTTATTTATTTCGACGAATTGTCGTGGACAACGCTGGATGTCATGATTGACCCTTGGATTATGGCAGTGAATCAATTTTTTGGCTTTTTTTTTAATTAAAGGACTTTAAAAAATTTGCTTTTTATTTTAATTAAAGGATTTTTTTTCTTAGTGTTGGCTCTTTATTTACAATTTATTTGAACCCTTAGTGAATGAGTAGGGGTAATAACGTAAAGTATATGTTCTTTGCAAATATTTTAAATTTTAAAAAAACATGCACGCATTACTTATAAAATGTGATTATTCTTTTAGGAGACACGAATGGGAACCTTCATTGGAGTATACTTGCCATGTTTACAAAACATACTTGGCGTAATACTTTTTCTACGACTTACCTGGATTGTAGGAACAGCTGGAGTACTTGAATCTTTTTGCATTGTTCTTATGTGCTGTTTATGTGTGAGTATTTGTTTGCTTTTCCAGTCATAAATGATGTGCTTATTTATTTGAGAGCAAAAGCAGACTTTATTGAGGAATCTGCTTTTTTTACATGTCCATAGCTGCAGCAGATGGCTGCTCTCTGGACCAATCAAATGGGCAGGTTTGATATTCCTGTCCTATTGCTCTTGTTTCCCTTGTGAAAAACAGCAGCAACAGTATCCACCTTCCACTCTTCTCTCTATTTAAAAACCTGTAGATTGGCCCAAATATTCATGTTTAGTACATTGCTGGGCAACAGATGTTTGCATGATTAAATTCCTTTTACATGTACTGGTCTTGATTGTCAGGTAACTGATCAGGAAAACATTTTTTTTGTGTAAAGTAGATGTAAACCCTAACTGAATTACATTTAGTTTAACATTGTTAAAGCAGAATGAAAAGACAGAACTAGAAATCATGGTGCATCATAACAAAATGTTGGTAGGGATCCCCACTTGGCAGATCCTGGAGTATTAAAGGGTAAGGAAACTTTTCCACAAAGTTTCCTTACCCCTTTGCTCCATTCCCTGAGTAGGTCTAGCTCACCCTTCCTCCCCAAATTGCTGTACTTTCCAAGATCTCACTCTGAGGCCTGTTGCATTGTTGCCTGCTTTCGCCATCTTGATCCAATATCTGCACCTGAATGGTTTGGTTCCATAGACATCTATGCAGCTGGGAGATGAATCGACTTCTGTTAGTCTACCAGTCCCTTAGAAACCTATGGGGCTGAACTGTGCAGGATGAACGTCGGATCAAGAAGATAGCACATAATTCCTATTCCTTGAGTAGTGTTATACTTAACCCTTTGTAACATCTCACGTATCAGAATGTCCATCAGTGTGGCATGGCAGCTAAGCACAGCAAAAACAAAAGCAAAACAAAATACTTTTTATCTGAAGTAACCAGTAATAGTTGATGGGTTTAATTGCTTTGAATAATATATGTAGTAATTATTTATTTCTTTATTTTAGACAATGTTAACTGCTATATCTATGAGTGCAATTGCAACCAATGGAGTTGTACCAGGTAAGACAACAATGTAGCTGCCATGGAAAGGCAATTTTTTTAAATTCTTGCCCTACCCTCAATATTAAAGGGTTGTGCACAGGGCTCTTTTCACTCTTATATTAACAGCTGTATTTTCCTGGAAATTTGTATGCTTAGATATAAGAAGTGCAGTTAGTACAGATAATGCATATTGTATTGTTGGCATAACAGGAAAATTAACCAAATTTGCAACTAACTAACACATACTCATAAGAAGTACTAATATTAAATAAACCCTACAGGAGCCCGACTGTTTTTCCCCTCTGCAGAGCCTTGGCAGACCATACCCCAACCCTGCACAAAGGAAGATGCGGGGCTGGCCTGTAATTTACTCAGTCACTGGACCCTGTGGTCAGCGTCCTTCTTGGCACTTTGGCCAGTGCATGTATGTATTTAAAATTTGTGCTATTAGACTTCCCTTTGGCCTAGGGGCCAGGAACAGTACCAGTACAGCTTCTTTCAGGCACTATACTGGGCAAACGCACATGGTAGAGCTGCAGCTAACGATTATTTTCTCGATTAGCCGATTATTAATCGGATAAAATATCAAATACATTTTAAAAAATGGCTCCAGTGATGGACTACTAGTTTGTATTGAGATTGCAGTCCATCACAGGAGCAAGCTTGGAGTGGTGGAAGGAAAAAAGGAAAAAAAAAAAAAGTGTGGTGTGCAATCTAGTGAAATGAAAAGTGTAAAATTATACAGCAATGAATACAGAATTTCACCGGCTATAGAGGACTCCAAAACCCAGCAATAGTACATTATAGCTGGCGGTATTCTGCATTGCGATGTATAATGTACTATTGCTGGGTGTTGTAGTCCTCTATAGCTAGTGGTATTCGGCATTGCACCACTGTATAATATACTATTGCTGGGATTTGTTGTACTCCTCTATAGCTGGTGGTATTGTGCATTGCGCTGTATAATGTATTATTCCTTGATTTGTAGTCCTCTATACAGCGCAATGCACAATACCACCAGCTACAGAGGAGTACAACAAATCCCAGCAATACATTATACATACAGTGTATAATGTATTGTTGGGATTTATATTTCTCTTTAGCTGATGGTACACTCCGCTATAGAAGAATACAAATCCCAGCAATACATTATAGAGCAGCATGTGTGGGGAAAGTGCAGGCTTACCTGAGCAATCTTCCAGCAACTTGTTTCTGAGATCGGGCCTGTCTATTGGCGGCTGTCGTCCGCCAACACCTGCTCCTCCTTCTCCCTGCGTCCCTGTGCCGATCGTGGATTTGGGCGGGTGGTGAGCGTGAGGCGGGGAGGAGGTGCGGCGTGTGGATGCGGGCAGCGTGTCTGGCAGCGTCGAGCGTGAGGTGGGGAGGAGGTGTGGCACGCAGCGTGTATGTAGCCGTGAACAGGGCCAACCAATCGGAAGCCGATTAATCGATGATTGAAAAAGTTGACAACTTTTTCAATCATCGATTATGTCGATTTAGTTGTTGCAGCCCTAGCACATGGTGAATCATTATTGTAAAGCGCTGCGCAAACTGTTGGCTCTATATAAAGCCTGTATAATAATAATAGGCACGCAGTCACTGAGATTGGGCTCTACACTCATGGGAGATTATTTCAGTCAGTCCCATGCTCTGCTCTTTTACCTTCCCTTCTAGCTTAGGGGCATCATGTGCCCCCTCTGGGCCACCTTCCCCTGATGTTCTATCCAGAGCATTGGTTCTCAAATGGTGACCCAAAAGTCGGTTGCGACCCCATGTTTAGTGGGTCACAGCATGCCTTCCACTTTTCTAGGTGAGAGGCTCCTCAGCCCCCACCTTTTGCACTGTCAGTTCACACGCCAAAATATGCTGCCCGGCACCGAGTGGAAGCTTGAGGCGGAGTGGGCTGTGGCTATGGCAGTGAGGGAGCTCCATCCATATGTACATCTCCCTTGTGTGTCCAGTAGTGGTACTTGGACTGGAGTGACATCACATTCTGGCTCCGGCCACCGCTATGGGGCAAGGAGCTGTACAAACAATGCACATGTGGATGGAGCTCCATCACAGTAGAGCAGCCCACACTGGACCCCAGGATGAGGATCCACTCCAGTTCTCGTATGGTAGGGAGACTGGGTGAATCTTAAAAAAGAAAAAAGAAATATTTTTTTGGGAGTGTGTATGTCTGTGGTTGTGTGAGTCTGTCAGTGTTTTTGAGAGCCTTTTCACACTAGTACAGTGCAATACTCACACAGTCCCATGCGATTAAAGCACTACCATGCAATCACACCTACCACGTGTACTGGTATGGGAGGTGTGTTATGTTTCAATTGATTTGAATGGTACCCCAAACGCACGTCCCACCCACAGTTCAATCGCAGTGCGACTTGGGTCATAACTTAATGACCAAGGACAAATGTGGGTCATGAGGTTACACAGGTTGAGAACTACTGATCTAGAGAGTAATTCATCACTGTCAAGTGTGATTTTATGAGGAAGATTGGCTAATTTCTTTGATTTTTCTACAACCCCAGTTCCAAAAAAGTTGGAATGCTGTGTAAAATCTACATAAAAACAGAATGCAGTGATTTGCAAATCTTAAAAACACATATTTTAGTCACAATAGAAAATAGAAAACATATTGTATATTTAAACTGAGAAAACGGCAACAGGTCAGTAACATGATTGGGTATAAAAAGAGCATCTTAAGGTGCCCACACACCTTGCGATAATCGTACGATAATCGCAGGGAAATCCCGTGATCGTACGATTATCGTAAGGTGTGTGGAAGCCGTGCGACCTCGACCACTGTAAGGTCGCACAACTTTTATCTTAGGAACAAGTTCGAAAACCCGCCAAGCATCGTACGATGTTCGGCGGGTGTGTAGCATGTTACATAGTTACATAGTATTTGAGGTTGAATAAAGACATTAGTCCATCAAGTCCAACCTATTAGGATCTCATTCTAGGAGTACCCGTCCCCCTGTATATTACGGTCCCTTAAGAAATCGTCCAAAAGTTTCTTGAACAATTCCACATTATTTGCTGAAATCACCGCCTGTGGCAGTGAGTTCCAGACCCTAACTGATCTTACTGTGAAGAACCCCCTTCGCCCCTTGTGCTGGAATTTTTTTTCCATCAATTTTAGGTGATGGCCTCTAGTTTTTGTAACGGAGTTAATTTTAAACAGTTTATCGCTAATGTTGCTACCACCATTAAACATTTTGTACATGGAAATCATATCCCCCCTTAATCTCCTCACCTCTAATGTGAACATGTTTAAATTTAGTAGCCTCGTCTCGTAGCTCTGGTCCTCCAAACCTCCATATGTTCGTAAGATAAAAGCCGGACGGGCCTGCGTTTTCAGTTAGAGGAAAAAGAAGGAACCGTTTCTAGTTCCCGGGAGTCTTCCCATGAAGTTACCTGTCCCCTGATTTCTCCCCTAAGCTAAAGGACAGGATTTCTGTTCTTGTGGACACAGCCTGCAATTATTTGCAAGTAAAACATATTGCTTCGACCTTTCTAAAGGTCACAAGATACTTAAAATGCCTAAACCTGCTAAAACCCTACTAGTTCACTTGCTTTTAAAGCCTGTGTTGTATTGTGAGTGAGATCACCCTCAGAAACCGTTTTTTGGTCACCCGTAAGAATCAAGTTGTATTGAGACCTAAGGCATCCTTTCTCCCTAAGATGGTAGAATATATAATTACTTAAATGTATTTCCTAGGGTTTCTTTACTTTTGTAATTGGTGTGGTGTGTGTGTGTTTGAATATGTTATGTTTCAATGCTTCTACTTTTTTATTGTATGCAATGCTTGCAATAAGAAAACGTGAAAATGTTTTTCATGTAGATTTTAAATGTATTATAGTATCCACTGAGAGATAATTACTGCTCATAGTACCTTCTACTAAATGGATTTCTGTCATGTAAAAGACTAGAGCTGCAGCTAACGATTATTTTCAAATCGATTAGTTAGTTGATTACAAGTTCGATTAATCGGATAAAATATCAAATCAATTTTTAAAAATGGCTCCAGTGATAGGATTACTAGTTTGTATTGAGATTGTAGTCCATCACAGGAGCAAGCTTGGAGCGGTGAAAGTAAAAAAGAAAAAAAAGTGTGGTGTGCAATATAGTGAAATGGAAAGTGTAAAATTATACAGCAATCAATGCAGAATGGCACAGGCTATAGAGGACTACAAAACCCAGCAATAGTACATTATACAGCACAATGCAGAATACCACCAGCTATAGAGGAATACAACGAATCCCAGCAATAGTGCATTATAGCTGGCAGTATTCTGCATTGCTCTGTATAATTTACTATTGCTGGGCTTTGTAGTCCTCTATAGCTGGTGGTATTCTGCATTGCGCTGTATAATGTATTATTTCTGGGATTTGTTGTACTCCTCTATAGCTGGTGGTATTCTGCATTGCGCTGTATAATGTATTATTTCTGGGATTTGTAGTCCTCTATACAGCGCAATGCAGAATATCACCAGCTATATAGGAATACAACAAATCCCAGCAATACATTATACATACAGTGTATAATGTATTGCTGGGATTTGTATTCCCATGTATAATATACAGCACAATGTACCATCAGCTATAGAGGAATACAAATCCCAGCAATACATTATAGAGCACCATGTGTGGGAAAGTGCAGGCTTACCTGAGCAGTCTTCAAACAACTTGCTTCTGAGATCGGGCCTGTCTATCGGCAGCTGTCATCCCCCCACACCTGCTCCTAATTACTCCTTCTCCCCGCGTCCCTGGCAACGTTGGCAACTTTTTCAATAATCGATTTTAGTCGATTTTAGTTGTTGCAGCCCTATAAAAGTCAATCAAATTAATTAAAGCACAACTTCGTATTTATTACTGAGTTGTTGGGAATTCCATCCTGTTCTGGCAACAATCTTTTGACTGGAGTAGTCATGTGGATAGAAGATAGCTGATCTATGAATAAATAGAAGGTGGCAGCAGCAACTATTGATTATGTTGTTTACTTTTACTGTGGGATCGTTTTTTTACGATCCCACAGTAAAAGTAAACAAAATAATCAATAGTTGCTGCTGCTGCCTACTATTTATTCATAGATCAACTATCCTCTCCTTCCTCTGTTGTCAGAGAAAGTGGAGGACTCCCAAATGTAAGCAGTAGTAGCGTTTACATTGGTGATCGCTGTGTTGGCTAGCACAACACACAGAGCCACTTTGATCTGCGCTGTCTAATGACAGCATGATTATAGGCACTGTGGGCCACACACATGCACACAACGTAAACGCAGTGATGCCGGTCTCGGGAAGGAGGAGGAGATGTGCCGGACCGGCACTGCAAAGGACAGTTACTGCGAGGTCCCCAGCATGCGTGGGACCTCAAATAGCCGAACTTGTTTAAAAATGTTAAGGGCTGGTATAGGCCTTTAGAATCGGGGCATTTTCACGAGTACAAGTACTTGTGAAAATGCCCTATATTGGCTCCGAAACTGATACTAATAGCAGGAAGTATTTTACATAAGGAATTTTAAAGTGACACTAAACTCAGGAGTCAAATCTTAAAAATGCATTCAAGTACCTTAAAGCAACATTAAACCTTCCCTTTTTGTAAGTGTTTCTTTTTTATGGTGGCTAGACTTAAAAAAAATAAGGGATAAAAGAACTCCCCCTTCCCTGTATGGGTGCCTCCATCGGCTAGCCGACTGCTATGGAGGCACCCGTACATGCACGATCAAGGCCATGTCCGCACCTAGCTGTGTGCATCCATAAACACACACACAGCGTCCGGCCGGCCACACCCCCACCCTTGCAGTCATAACTTGACTGACAGCAGAAGGAGCCTATGGCTCATCTGTTCTCAGTACCCTCCCCCGCAACCAGAAAGTTCAGGGAAACCCATTTATCTTCCTGGTTGCGGCGGAGGAAACGAGTAGCTGGGTGTTTTTTGCCTTGATGCAGAGAATGCATTAAGGCAAAAAACACCCAGCCTTTAATACCACTGTAACTATTACACAAATAAAGTACACTTTTATTATCACTCAGCTGTAGATCCTCAAAACATCTCTGAATTGGTGCTGACACTGTCCTTCCTTCTGGAGGGTGGCTACTTTTGTTTTTTCACGGTCCCTGTGTGTGTGTGTTCTGAAGTAGCCACCGCTCCAAGCTTGCTCCCATGATGGACTATAACTTCAATACAAGTTTGCTAACTTAATGTAAGATTGCAGTCCATCGCAGGAGCGAGCTTGGAGCGGTTGCTATTTTACAACACACACAGGGAGCATGGGGAATAAAGGTAGCCACCCTCCAGAAGAAAGGAAAGAGTCTGCACAATTTCAGAGATAGTTTGAGGATCTACAGCTGAGTGATACACACATAAGATACATTTTTGTTAATAGTTAAGGTACTTTGAATGTATTTTTAAGATTTAACTCCTGAGTTTAGTGTCACTTTTTTGTTCAATATGTATAACATCTGGAGTCAGTAAAATTTGCAGAACTAAGCAGAATTTCACTTCCATGTGCGATTTGTAGATATAGCTAACTTGGAATAGTCTAACATTTGGATTTGTCTTTCATAGCTGGTGGATCATATTATATGATTTCAAGATCTTTAGGTCCAGAATTTGGAGGAGCTGTAGGTCTTTGCTTTTATTTGGGTACAACTTTTGCTGGAGCTATGTACATTCTTGGAACAATTGAAATTCTCTTAGTAAGTGTCTTTATTTTAATATTTCATTGTGAAAAAAATCATTTTGACTGACAATATTTTAGGCCTGTTTGGTTTTTCTTAGATTATTGCACATGTTTAGTGATGCAGAGCAGACAGTGCATATTATGTAGGACATTAAGTGAAGTAACTGATAACAGAAACCTTTGGGGCATTTACTGTAGATGGAAAGTTCTATTATTCAGATTAGGATTTTCATCCTTACACCAATGTTTTCACTGTATTAAATGCACTGTAGTAAATGCATTAATGCTGAATTTTAATCTGCTTATACTTTCCTTTCCTGGTTCCTCCCTCCCACCTTCATCATCATGCTAATCCGTTTCCATTACACACTTTATTTAAGACCCAGTAATGTCCTCCTGGGTCTCTGTGCTTCTCTACAGAATGCAGGCAAATCACATCCTGGTGGAAAGGATAGCAGGTTGCTCTAAATAGCTTTCTGAAAATATACTTCTCTCGAGCCCCTCAGCCCTGATGCAAACAGTGAGCTGGCTCTTGAGGGGAGTTACACAAATGTTAAAATGCTGTAATGGGCTGGTGTCAGTCTGGGGGACTGAGCAATTCCTGGGCAAACTGCATTTGTATGTAGACCACCCTATATAACGCCCATATATTATGCCAAGCCTCCATGATTAAAAGAACTGTAATCCAATGACAAGGGCAGGCCAGAGATAGTAAGGCTAGAGAGGAAAGGGTTAGATAATGCTGGGCACCCTCCAGACCAGAAGTGAAGTGGGCTCTGTCAGACTTGCTATAGCTTCTGATGCACAATGATAGAAGCTCCTATAGTGCAATGAAATCAGAATAAGCTTTTTTTCATACAGTGCAACTGTGGAAGACTGAAAGTAAAGCTGAAGTTTATCTTTAGATAATGTTTTTGTATCAGGCAAGAAAATATCATTTTATGTTTGGCTTGATTTCTAATGAGCAAACCTCATCATAAGTATACAAGCTCTATATGATTTATTAATCTCTATAGGTGATGGATGCTGCTATATTTACATAGCTCAACAACTGTCTACCATGCTAAATTATGTCTAGGCACAGAATTGTGCTGCATTTGTATTGTGGCCTTCCTTCCATTATAGAGGTTAACAGAGGTATTTTACTATGCCAAAAATCATGTCCATGAGTTTAGAGCCATAAACTCTAAACTGCAGCCACTTTAAAGCTGATGGGGAAAGTGCTGGTTACTAGTTAAGACTGACATTTTAAAGATGATTGACTACATCAAAATATAAAAATAATACTTTAAATATATTTTTTTTTTCTACAGACTTATATATCGCCAAATGCTGCCATATTCCTAATAGAAAAAGATAATCCTCAAGCCATGTTTAACAACATGAGAGTTTATGGGACATGCATAATTGCCATAATGGCTATTGTAGTATTTGTTGGTGTTAAATATGTAAACAAACTTGCGTTAGTATTTCTCGCCTGTGTAATTCTGTCCATTATGGCCATATATGCTGGAGTAATCAAATCTGCATTTGATCCACCAGATTTCCCGTAAGTAAAGAAATGTATTTCTATATTATGTTCTGTATCGCATTGTTTTGTTCTAGAGGGGATCACATTTTTTTCTTCTTTTGGCATGGTCCACACCTTTCCATAAATTATATATGCTAGCAAAAATGTCCTTTGTTGAATGGCAGGAATGTATAGACTGAGTTTAGACAACACTCCCATTACACAAACATCACCTGTCACAATTTTTCGGCATGCTTAATTATGTCAGAATGCACCAACTGCCATCATGTCAAAGTGCCCCATGTACTCAGCATTTCCCAACGTGTATGTCCCTTGAAGAGTACTTGGATTTGTACATGATCTAACCATTGTGATATTTTGGGGATATTGGAACATATGGTGAGTGCTTAATGACCACTCTCAAGCCGTTTAACATAAGCAGTCTTTTATTTTTACACAAACAGAAAATGGCTTACCATCAGCATAACAATACACAAAGTCCACTTGTCTTCAGTAAATTAACATGAACAATCTCACCCACTTAAGGTTGTCTTACATAGACAAAAGTGTCCCCATGCCAGAGTTTTCGGGGCACTTCCGAGAAACAGTTCACAGCAATATTCAGTGCACTTGAACACTTCAGAACGGCTTCCACACACCTGTGTGATTCCAGCTACTCCACACCTCCCGTGTGACTCCTGCTGCTCTATACCTCCCGCGTGTCTCCAACACACCCCTCGTGTTACTGGTTTTCCTAGCCACAACAGCTGTCCCAGCCTCCCCTGCTCTCTCTTGTGTGCCTCCAGAAAACAACCCCCCACCGAACTCTTACCCAGCCCTCATTAAAAAGGCTGTCTCCAGCCACCTTCTTAGCCTATGCCAGTAGTTGGTAAAACCCAGACCCAGGAATGGAGATTTCATCCCTCCCAAGACTCTTCGAAATCTCCAGGTTCCAAGACCCTAACTAGAATCAATAAAACCTGGAAAGAACTGAAAAGCATGCTCTTTCCCTGTAATTATACTTCCTAAAACCATTCAGCTTTGCATTAAGGTGGATTCCATCGCATTAGCCAGCCCATTTAAAATGAATTGCCTGCGCTATGGGAAATTTTGATCCTGCTGCAATTGTATTGTATTGCGACGCATACTGAAGAGAAATTGGGAGTGAAATAAGCCCTATCGTTGGTGTGGCCACAGTAATGACACCCAGTGTTGGTGTCAGTTTTATTAATGTACCCACCTCCTCTGCCCATACACAGTCCCCCGATCAGTGACAGTGCTGTACACCCCCCACCCCCCTCCCCATTGCTGGTCAGTCCTGTTAACCCCTACCTTGCTTTGTTGGTCAGTGCTTTAAATCACACCCCCTTGCATTGCTGACAAGTGGTTACATGATCCCGTGCTTCTACAGTGCTCGTTCTCACTCCACCATCCAGTTGGGATCATACTTCTACTGCCAGGTGGAGATCACTATAGGACATGGGAAACCATGCATATGCAAACATCACAAGTAGTGTCACTTGCCTGATGGTCAAATTATCAGAGATTTTGTTTTAAAGATGGGTCTTAGGATATAGGGGGAAAATTGCATACAATATAATCATGATGAAATCATTTACATTTTATTGCGTATGTTTGTTCATAAATGATTTCTAGCTTGCTAGAGTTCTACTTTACAATGGCAATAAACGAATATAGACTTGGTTTTTGCGTAAAAATTAAGTTTTTCTACTTCTACCTTAACAAATGCCTGCTCTCAGACCCTTGATAGGTTTTTTGGGATTCTTTATTTGATGTCCCTGATATAATGGGTCTTTTTAGGTTCACAAGAAAAGCAATACCGCTAATTTTTTCAGGTCCTAAGAACCTGATATTACATTAAAAAAAATTTTTTTCCAATACAGATCTGTACATTATACACCATGTTATGGCAACAGTAATATCTTATCTGTATGTTTATTTGTGTATTATATTGTGGATATCTTGTGTACCCATATAAGTGGGTACCTACTGAAACTCTATATATTTTAATACGCATTTTTCTTTCATAATATAAAAATAATTTTCAGATAGCTGCATTTATTTAATTTAGAACTTGTGTGTCGTATGCATCCCTTATGCGTTTGATATCAAATCATTTTTTTTTCCTAATGCTTAGTAATGCTTAATATAGTCTTATATTTTACAGCATTTGCCTTCTAGGAAATCGTGTATTAGCAGCACGAAATATTAATGTTTGTGCCAAAAACATTTCCAATGATACAATTAATGATGTCCTCTGGAATAAATTTTGTACATCTGGAAATCACAGTCCAACCTGTGACAGCTATTTTATGACAAACGATGTAACTGAAATACAAGGAATTCCTGGAATTGCTAGCGGTGTTCTACTTGGTGAGTTCTTGAAGCAGTGACGCAGACTTGCAGTCTTGGCCTTTGTTACGGTGTTTCTGATTAACTGTCATTATAATATAGCCTTTGCTTTTTACGGATTTTTTTTTTTTTCTACTATATTTTTACTATCTTCTACCTGAGTTCAGTGTTACCATACACTGAAAACATTGTCATGCTGTATATAGAAAGGGTTCTTTTAGGATTACATAAAGAAAGCTAAATGCTTTTATTGACACTTTACGCTCCTTAACAACCCAGAAAGAATGTATTCTACCAGTAATGAGCCCAGGCAGGAAACAGGTTAGCCTCAATAGGGGCTTTACAGCCAGTAATGTTCTGCTCTGGCCAAGAAAGTTTTTACCTGTAAATCAGCAGAAACCCTTATCCTTGAAAGGTAAAGCTGAACTGTCCACATTTAAAAGATTTAATGCAGCCCTGTAGTCAATAGTACATCATTAAATGGATTTTTATAAGTGGATGTACCTGAATTAAACTTGGTATCAGCCCCCTATTTAGAGCTAAGAGTAGGAGAGGAGGAAGAAGCAGCACAAGGAGCAAGTTTCATGTGCTGACAATGAGCATGCTGACAGAGGGAGAGCGCAGAATAAATGTGAGGTGAGCTTGTCACCATGTTGCCTTTCCTTCATTGTCCAGTCACAAACTGGAGGCAGGTAATGACAGCCTGAGCTCAGAAGAAGTGAGTTGAATAATGCTGGCTATCATTTAATACAGAAGAATGAGGACACCTAATGATAGAAGAGAAGTTCTGCAGAGGACACCACTAGCTTTGCAGCCAAAGTTTTTTTTTTTTTTTTATTTTATCTTTATATGGGCTATTATATTTTTTATTTTTGGCTGGAGTTCTGCTCTAAAGTTACAATGTTATTAGAACATCTTAAAGCAGGTCTTCAGGGTTTTCAAAAGTTAACTCTTGCAGTGGGGCTACCCAGCTGTGGTATGTTATGGTATGGGTGCTCCAGCTATGGTATGTCCCTCGGCATCCTCATATATGATGCAGGAGAGTGAACCTGCATTAGACCTGATTATGTAAGCGGGGCTTAGACTTCCAGAGTCTGTGGGAGAAGAGGCTGCAGGGATCAGTCTACCAGCCGGACAGGATCGAGGATCAGGTAAGTTTTCTTTCTTTTCACCCCTACAAAATGAGCGGTTAACCCTTGCACTGTGGGAGTAGCCCTACTGCACGGTTTAACTTTTTGAAAATCCTCTTTAAAATAGAACTGTGGCCTGGCTATGGACATTCAACTTTTCTTAAAAAGCAGAAACGAATGCTTTAACACCAGCCCTCGCTGACCTCTGTTACGCTCTGTTAAGCGCCACTGAGTATTTCATCCTCAAAGTTCTGAAAAAAATACTTTCACTTTTCCCCTGCAAACATGGGTTGGCTGCTTGACAGCGTTCTAACATGTAAACACAGCAAGTGCACAAGAAAAGGGGAGAGCAGAATGCAGAGTCTCGACTTGAACAGCTGCATTGGAGCAATTTTGAGGATGAATTGTTTTATTGTGTCTGCAGCGACAGAAGTTAGTGAGGGCTTGCCAAAGAGCAGTTTTACTGCTTTTATTGGCCACAGTTTTGCTTAGAGTGGAGATTTAGATTCTAACAAATGTCCAGGAAAAAATAAGGGTACATATTGTATGTCATGAGCCCACTCCCAGTCACTTGTCATCCCTTGTAAATACAAAATTCCTATCTCATACTGAATGTTTGACCAGGGCCAGACTGGGACAGTGTTTGCTAGAGGCAGTTCTTCTATTTGTAATTTCATGATGCACAGAGTAGGAGCTTTACTTGCTATGGAATACTGTGCTCATGAGCGAAGTTAAAGGTGCTGAGAATAGTGTATGGTGCGGGAGAATGTCAGAGCCATGGCCTGTGAGTTTTCCCTTGGTATTTTTGGGCTCTGTTCACACCAGCGCAGTTCGTTCTGGTCCAGACAGAAAAAAAAAAAATACTGCTAGTCCCATTTTCTCTGGTCTGGAACACATGGAAACGCATTAAAAACGCATGCAAATGCACTCGACTGCACCTGAAAGCCCAATTTAAGCTAAGGATAAAATAAGTGGTGGTGTGAACAAGCCCTTAATACCCTGTATAAGCCCAAAGGTATAGTTATTTTCCGTTAGCTGCACTTATGTCAAAATCAAGACCAGAAGGAAATACGTTTTTAATTCCAGCTATGGAGGAGCATATGATTCACACTCCTTGGGATAGCGCTGTGCCAGTCAACACTGACGGATGGAGAGTGCATAGCGCTGTGACTTCAGCAACTCTTACAGATGGCTTTCTTTTGCTCCCAGCAGCTAAACGGAGCAACAGGGGAGCAAAAGGAAGGCAAGTATAAACTGCAGGTAAGACTACATAAATGTGAAGCTATTGCTTTGCCATACGAGGACAAAGCATGGGTTCGCACTTACCTCCCAGAGTGTTTCTGGCTTAGAGCTAATCTTTTGTAGGCTATCCTAACATATTACACTTCTTCCTTTTTTTAGGAACAGATAAAGCTTTAATTTGGTAGTAGATATGGTTAAAGGCATTTTTATTTCATGGGTTTTAAATTGGAAGGAATTAGGAGAAGGTCACCTCAGGAACAGAGTTAACAGGGCTGTTTTCATACATTTTCACTCGCTAAAATTCTGATCGACATTGTACACACTTGAACGAGTGTTTTGACCTCAGGCAAAATATGTCAAACAGAGCATCTCCATGTATTTTTTAGGACCATGAGAATAATGTAGAAGTAAGGATTTTTGTTCCAGGAGAACTGGCTGTTCTGGTGCCTGGCTCACAATTCAGACTAGACAGAATTACACATCCTTTGTCAGGCATATCAGTTAGCAAAGTACACAGCTAAAACACATTTTATATGCAGTTTGCCCAAAGTTCATCTTCAGTGGTATTCTTTTTCAGGACTTAAGCATGTATTAGTATATTCATTTTTGATCAGTAAATCCAAGTTTATGGCTTAAAGTGTTAGTTTACTTTAAAAGAAACAGTTTTGCTTAGTATAGGGACCTATTAGGGCCCGTTTACACCAGATGCAGTGCGTTCCGGCCCAATTCTGGCCAGAAGGCACTGCTTCGGATTGCAGCCAGCTCAGTTTTTTGTAGGGCATGAGGGGGCGTGGCGGGCCATTGAAGTGAATGGCACCCTCCGGCCGCAATGCGATCAGCCACATGGGATTGCAAGGCACATTATGTCTGCGGTCCGGTCAGGCTCGGTGCGATCAAAATAGTGCTTGCAGGCATTTTGTGGGCAGGAGGCGCTGTATAAGACAACTGCCACAACCTGCAGCTGTTCACAAGTAATCGCAAAAGCTGTGAATATCTGCAGACAATCGTGCCTGGACACAAACAATCTGCGTCCAGGGGCAGATGGGGCATAAATGTAATACATGATTAAACCCTTTTAGGTTAGTTTACTAAAATTGGAACTGACAGAATCTGGAGCAGCTGTGCATGGCAACATCATCTAGCTTTCATTTTCAAAGCTTTACTGAACAAGCTGAAGGTAAAAGCTGATTGGTTACTATGCACGGCTGCCCAGATTCTGTCTGCTCCAGTTTTAGTTAACCCCATTGTGTAGCTATAAACCTCAAAGAGTGACTCCCAAGCCGTTGGATAGTAGTCATTTGCTTAAAACAAACCTGTAAGCCATTGTAAACTTTTAGAAGTAAAAGACATGCCTGAAAGGCAACAAGGTTGTTAGCATTCCTGCCATGCAGCACTGCGGTCCTCGGTTCAAAACCTGGCCAGCACACTGCATTTACATGTAGTTTGCATGTTCTCCCTATGCTTGGATGGGTTTTCTCCCTACACTCCACAGACATGCTGATTAAATGGCTTCTGCCTAAATTTACTCTAGTGTGCGTGTATGTAAGATGGGGATGTTAGAATACAAGCTGCTTGAGAGTAGGGACTAATGTAAATGTACAGTATGTAGAGCACTGCATAATTTGTCAGTGCTAGATAAATGCCTGTAATAATAATATTAAAGCAGCCAACACAAACTGTCTATTAAATGCATCACTCAGGAACCATTGGTAATGGATCTTGATGCCTTGCTTATGCCTCACCAACTGACATATGAGGGTACTATTTTTTGCCACTGAGGAACTCCCAAATGACACATGGTAGGACTTAGGCCAGAAATTGGGCTCAAGTAACAAAGTGAAATTAGTTTCGAAGAAGCACATAGAAGAGGGTTTTCCTACTATTTAAAGTGGACCTAGCATTAGATATATTTAGCTTTGGTTCATTGTAAAGCACAGCTCTGATCTTAAGATCTTGACCATTGGGTTAGAGTCCCACCTGCAGCAGCATGACGCCATGTACAAAACAAAAGAATGGCCTAAGGGCGGCCCTTGCTGGTGACCACAGTTCTAGCAAGTTCAGTTTGTGGTGTAGCATCAAGGAATTAGGGCCTCTCTATCCTGCTTTCTTGCTATCATTAGTTCCCTTTTTTATTTGCAGTTTGTTCTTTGTCTCCAATTTTTAACTATCTTTAATCAAGTACCTGGCTGGGTGACGAGCTGGATAATATAGATTCTGGTAGTCTATACTGAGCACATAGTTCCCTGCCATGTGCCGGTTTGACTGCGATAGCTCTGACTATAGAATGCAGAACAGCATTCAGTGCACTGTCTGTCACTAAAACATGTACAAGATCAGTTGCCCTGGCCCTTTCTGAGGCTGCCTATCTGATACAAATTGAGAGATTTGCCTCATCAATATGTGAATATGCTGGGGCCTTTTATGTTAGGCATGTTTAGTGCTGGTCTGTCTGTGGCCTCGGTGTCCATATGATGCACCACAGGTATCCTTATTAGTCATTTCCTCTGCCTTTTACTTGTCTTCATTAAAGTGTATGTATAGCCAAACTTTTTTTTAGTTTTGGACGAAGTATTAAATAGTTAACACCTCTGTTTTTGCTGTCTGTCTGTCTTGTTTGGGAGAAAAGAAAATAAGAGGACATTTCTTGAAAGTGGAAAGTCCCTTCTTAGACACTTCTCACAGGAACAGATGTACACAGTGACAACTGTTACGTTTTGGATCACTTTCCAACCCATTTTGCCCTTGTTCTACCTGTCTCATCTCCCAGCAGACTTCTAGATACTGGCTGAAGCATTTTGCCTGGCTTTGTCTATGTGATCTTCGGTTGTCATCTGTGGCAATTCCTTTTGCTTCACTTATCTTGTCTCTTGGATGCCTGCCCTTCTAAATTTCTTTTTGTCAGTGTTGCCTTCAGCATTGGCTGGATAGGCTCGCTAACCCTGCATGGCCATTACTGTTTAGTGAGTATTTATATGTTTTCTTTTTCTCTATTGTGTTTGATTACCACCCCTTGTTCTGTATCCTGCTACTCTTCACTTACTCCGTGCATTGGTATCTTCATGCTTCAGTCTCTTGTTGCTTTTATTCGTTCTTTTTAGCTGGTATCTCTGTATTCGGTTGGCTTTAATTACCTGTTTTTTCCTGTTTGCCATCTCCACTGAGACTCAAATCCATTCTCACCATCAGAAGCTATGAAGAAGACTGGGTACTTCTGGATCCCTCACATAGTTTTTTTTCTATTTGCTGTTAATACAGAGCACTCTGTTATCCTTGTTTATTTGGTCCTGACTTTAATTTTGTCTTATGTTGCTGACATCAGCCTTATTAGGCCCTCCCACAAGACATCCAAAGCTTATTAGCCACAATCAGCAGTGTTCAGCTGATCATTACAGGTATGCTTCATGGCTGTTCTCCCAGCATGATGAAAACACATGTATGCATTTTGATGTTACTAACATTGTTGTATAGCTAAACTGGATTGTTCTAATTTTAAACAAAAATATGATTATTTATTTCCTAAATGTAACAGATAATCTTTGGAGTGCCTATAGTCCGAAAGATTCAATAATCGAGAGAAACCAAACATCAGCCGCTTCAGGAGAAAGTCAGAAAGCATACAATCAAAATTATGTCTTGACAGACATTATGACTTATTTCACAATGCTGGTTGGAATTTACTTTCCCTCAGTGACAGGTAAGAAAGTAATTGGATTTTAAAAGATTAATTAATTGATGTCTAAACATTTTGGTTAAAACAGACCTCTCTTTGATTCAAAATGTATACGGTTTATTGTGGGTAACAAAAGGGATCTAACCAAAACTTGATAGTTACATATGTTTGTGTTTAAAGCTTATTTGTGCTTTCATAACATCATGGCAGAATTAGTGTAATGACCTCCTAGACCAGCGGTTCTCAACCTGTGGGTCGGGACCCCTTCGGGGGTCGAATGACAATTTGCCAGGGGTCGACGGGAGTCTCCCGCTATTAGATAGCAGCTCCCGGCCGCCCGGGAGATAAACACTTTCTCCCGAAAAGGTTTAATCTGCTCGATCAAGCAGAGTAAACCTTTCGCTGCGATCGTTTTTTTTTTTTTTT